TTTTTCGTATCATAGTCAGTTAAATTAGTTGGCTCCAAAGACTTGTACAGATGACAAATTTAAAAAGGAAAAATTATACTGCTAAAAAAATCCTTCATATAATATTGTCACATTTAATCACAGAAAAAATGTTTCACATTGTTTTCTTTAGTATTAAAATTCATAATCACTATAATTTTTCTCAAAAATATATTTCCCCTGTTCACATAGGGTAGATTATTTCTATAGAATCAGTTCAAACTGGCTACAACAGACTGATTTGGAACTTAATTTAATGGATCTAGATGTGGACCAATAGATTTTCTAGATAATGGCTTTATTTATTATTTTCTTCTTTCAAAATAAACAGTTAATAAGGTATACACAACATGTAAGCAAAACTTTTGAAAATAATACCTCCACATCTCTGCTTCTAGCCACCTCAGCAAAGTTTTCTTGTTGCTCAAGGGTCTTATCCACTTTATCATCAGTCATGCAGAAGCATCTCAACCTGGCTTCAATGGGGTCATGTGATTTGGCAAACACTACAAATTTGGCCATATAAGGAACACAGATAATTTCTCTATACACCTGTGATGCAAAAGTAACGGATTCTTGGATCTGTCGGCAATCTATCAACCAGAACCTAAAAAAGAAAATAAAGTTATTGGTCTAAAGTTTTAATTATTCATTTCCCATTTTAAAAATCCAGTTTCTTAAATATGATCAGAGTAATGATGGACAGAAGGTGGCTTAGAAAAAGCAAAACTGGAAAAACAGGAAATGATAAGAAAGGAAGGCTAAAATAAAGAAAGAAAGAAAGGACTTGGGGGCTAGAAAAAGAGTTATCAGGTTTTAAGATCTACGATTAAATATTATCTTTTCAATGTTCTTTCTTGGAAACTTCAGCCTTTTCAGGCTTCTTAAATATATCTTCAGTGTTTCAGAATCTTTTAAGAATATAAAGCCAGCATCACACAGTATGACAAGCATTTCATGTTAGGAGTCTGTTTTCCTTAATTTTCCTTATTATTTGTAATTTACTTTTGAAAACTCTCAACAGCCTCAACAAGATTTTCCTCTTTTAGTCTTTTTCAAGGAACTCTCCAGTAACAAAGGTTGAATCAACCTGATTATTTTTTTAATTGCCTTTGCTCTGGAATGTTCACATATTAATTAATACAATTTGGATAATTTAGTGGCTCCATAATTAATGATTTCTAGACACAGCTGGGTCTTTGAAATTGCATGGCAACATCTTACTACACAGTCTTTTATTCAGTGTAGTAAATGCTACTAAACCTTCAAAACATTCCTCAAGTTTCTACACTGCTGTGGTCTTAGCTTAAAAGTTGGCTTTAAGTCATTATATTAGCTCCCTTAGGTCTACCTTAATTGCAGACACATGATCTTGTAAATTATCAACAGCTGTGGGACTAGGATAAGTGAGAGTTCTTCGCACACTAAGCAGCAAGGCTTGAGGGTGACTAGAGCGAGACCAGGTAACAGTGAGACCCTAGTGATGGTGGTAGAGGCTGTGGCAAGGTATAACCAAAGGAGGCCTCTGATAAAGGCCACAGTTAATGTTTTTGCTGGTCTTGCTGGATGATGGAAGGAAAACATGACTGCTGCACTGAAACCAGAGACTGGACTAATTGACTGCATTTAGACTTCTGGACTATAACCTGGACTTACAGTGGGTGACATTCTTTGCCTCCTCCACTCTCCAACTTACTTCCCTACTAAATCACACTCTTGGTACCACAGTCTGTGAGTCAATAATTAATGAACCACTTGCTGTTAGTGTGACTCTAGAGGAACAATGGGGCTGGGCTATGGGCTCTCTATCTGCATTCTGCTCTTGGGCAGTAAGGGGCTGTGCTGCTCTTACTCCCTCTGGCCCTTTCAGAGAAACGCTCATGCCCTGTGCCCCCATTGTCTGCTTGGGTTCTAGTTCATTGAGAAAGAAGAGGCTTTTAGATGGGAATGTTTTCAACTTGATATTCATACACTTAAAAAAATTTTTTATTATTAATTTCAATGAAAATTTACAGAGACTTTGAATTTCCATTTATTCATTGTTGCACTTTTCTCCTTGCCTACCCCTTAACCCCCCGCCCCCAGTACACTCTTCTCTTTGAGTAGACCTCCCCCCACAATGCAGCCTTCATTCTGCACTCCTGTCATGACAAAAATAGCTAATCACATATCCCCCCCCCCTTTTTTTTTAGAACAAATCAGCAAAATAAAATTCCGGTTTATTGTTGGACAACATTATTTCACACATACATCAAACAGGCCAAAAAAAAAACAAAACTAAACAGCAACTTCATAGAAAAAAAAAAAAGGAAAAGAAACCTTTTATCTTTGGCCTTTTTAACCATCTCATACAAACCAACTACTTATAGTACAGCTAAGTACATACACAAAAAGTTACTGGAATGCTCGGAATAAAATTGTATTTTTTTTTTGTCGTTGTTTTTTGCTTTTTTTACAAGGTTTTTTTTCTCCTTTGAGATTATAATGAACGTGGTCACACCACAAGTCAGAATTAGGACAGGGAACGCTCTGAACACTGGTTTGGTCATCCCGAGATCATTAAAAATGGCTGACCCCTAACAATATGTACAAAAATATAAAATGTAAATAAAAATACAAATTTTTTTCCTTTTTAAAGTACTTTTAAGAAAAAAAGCAGGGCCTTGGGAAGTTTTGGTTCTTTTTTCCTCCCCTTGTTGCAAATTCATGTTGTGGTTTTGGTTGGGTGGCGGTGAGCGCATGTCATCTGCAGGTGGCGCTGCCCGAGGTGGGCGGGTGGACTCTCTACTCGAAGGTGACCACGTTTAGATTCTGAGACGGGAAGTGGAGGGTGACTAGGTCACGGTGGCCTTTAATTTTTTTTTTTCTCTTTTCTTAAATTTAACTTTTCCTTTTTTGCTGCCTAGTCATCCTCATCGGTCTTCTGCTTCTTGGTGTCAACATCGTCATCCTCATCATCTTCAGCTGCCCGCTTGCCCGTAGCTGCCTCAGCCTCCTCATCTTCATCACCATCCTCCTCCTCACCGTCACCTTCCTCCTCTTCCTCCTCCTCCTCCCCGCCTTCTTCCTCTTCTTCGTCTACCTCGTTGTCAGCCTCCTGTTCCCCATTTCCCTCCTTAGCATTCCCGTTAGCGGCGGCGTCTCGTCCATTCTCCGCTTCCTCCACCACCTCCTTCTTCTCCTTCAAGTCCTTGGTGGTGATCTCGGAGCTGGTGTCCATGGCTGCGTCTGACATGGTGGGGCACGCCAGTGATCCAATGCAGCGGATGCCAAGAAAGCGCGAGTTCTGGGACTCTGGCGAGAAAGCTGCCAGAGCCGGAGCCGGAGCCGGAGCCGGAGCCGGAGCCGGAGCCGGAGCCGGAGCCGGAGCCGGAGCCGGAGCC